TACATAAATAAAAATCTTAGAAAAAAATATAGAAGAGTGGTGGATTTTTATATTTTAAAAAGTAGCCCAGATAAGCCCTTCTTAATTTCTTTCTTTTGTAGAATATAATAACCTGAATGGTATTTGCCCTTGGTATTAAAAGTATGGACAAATGGGTTGTTTTTTATATGTGCAGATAACATGCTGTTTTATATTCAGTACCCTTTATAGGAGTCCTGAGTCTCTTTCTGGCTGCAGCAGCACACTGAGCCAATAAAATCCCTCACTAGAGACATTTTCTCAAGTCTGGCTTTGGGTTATTTTCCTTCTAAGTTACTACTTTGCACTCTTCTGTACAGGGTCTTATCATTTTTCTTCATGTTTTCTCCTGCTGCTTTTTAGTATCTGCTGTATAATTTTTAAACACCCTCACATTTTGCTACTTGTGTAACCTATTTGCACCCCATTAGAAGTATGTGACATGAGAAAGCTCCTTTTAAGGGTCTCCTGGAAATCCAACTCCTTTCTTTATAGAAATGTGCCATTTAATAAACACAATTTATATGGATAACATTTGTTTTTAGATATGTGTTTCAAGGAAATATAGATAAAATGAAGCTGTGGATAACTTAATCTTTCTGTTGTAAATAGTGGTAGTTAAACCTTACAAATTTGGTTAAAGCTATTAATCCTGTCCTCAAATGAGACGAAATTTTGGATATTACCCAATCATATATCATTGCAGTTCCCCTGTGTATAACCCATGTTCAGAACTCCTTCATATTTATGTTGTTTCCTTTACTATTTCAGGAAATCCCCTCCGAATGGCATTTTGAGCTGATGATGGACAGAGAGATACCAGTGGAACTGTGGGCCCATTACATAAAGCAGCTCAATTTGGCCCAGCGTGTTGCTGTGGAGGACTCTGTTTTACTCATATTTGCACTGAAAAATTTTATTCATGCACTGAAGGGTCCTAAATCTTTTCCTAAAGGTAGGACAAAGTGTGACTTTTGAATGTGATACTCAAGAAAACAATTATTTTCTCCACAACTATTGTTTGTTTTGAGTGAAAAGTTCCCAGCATGTGTTCACGTAAGTTTATTCATCGTTTCTCTCTCTCTTCATGTCCATGTAGATGATATATGGTGGAATCCCGAGCAGCTGAAAGAAGACAACAGAGCCTATCTGTGCTTGCTTATTGGGCTCTTTGAGATGATACTCGGTGGTACTGATGCCACTCATTTTAGGGTTCTGATGAAACTTTTCATAAAGGTACTAGGCTCATCTTTTTCAGGCATACTTTTCCCTTTCAGAAGATATAGCAGAGCATTTATGACAGTTTTTTAATGAAAATGAAAGTAGATTTTTGAACAGTGCAGAGTATGGGGTAATATACACGGGCCCTGTGAGGTAGTGGTATCATCATGACACCAGTCAGTAGGCCAGAGACTAACATTGCTGCATGCCTAGTACTAGTAGTGTGTTAGGCCTGTCATGTATTTACTAATCACAGTTCATTACCAGTGAGAAACTGCTGTTCAATGGGGTAAGTTAGCTTGTGCAACTCAGTTAAGAAATTTCATGGACCTCCGTGTTGCTAGGTCCAGCAGTTAAGTCTCTGTTCTTGTCTTACCCCTTTCAGCAGCATTTGGCACCACTGGTGACACTTATTCCATCTTGGAATTCTTTCTTAACAAGGCTTCCCCCTCATCACGAGTCTTGGTTTTCTGCTTATTTTCACATGTTGTTACTGTTGTCCAGTGTGTACAGAGTCAAAGTTATAGCAAGTCCTTTAGATTCATTTACATACTTCTCATTGGTTAAAATAAGTATGGAAAATTTTAAGTCATGGAACAGGGCAAATCATTGCAACAAAGTGTTTTCTGTAATTGTACACTAGTGAAAAGAGGATTTGGAATTAACTAAATGTGAGTAAAAATTAAACTTCACTGTCGTTTATTTAATTTAGGTGCATCTAGAAGATATTTTTCAGTTATTCAAGTTCTTCTCTGTTTTATGGACATACGGGTCTAGCCTTTCAAATCCACTTAACTGCAGCGTGAAAGCAGCACTGCAGACTCAAGCTCTTTATATAGGTTGTGAGATGCTCTCTGCTCAGAAGGCACAGGATAAACATCAGCTGGCATCTGTATCTTCTCCAGGTATCATGAGTAGCGTGTTATGTTCTGTCATGACCAACTTTAATGCTTTCTCTATATGTAGTTTATGTGGGTTATAGTTGGGAGAATTTCTTTTTAACTTTTTTTTCTGAAGAGTACTCACAGTGTGTGCACTCTCTCTGCTGTCTACGTATATTATAAGTTAGGTGTATACATATAAATTCTTATATATAAACTGTATATACGTATATATAAATTTTTTTTTTTAGATTTTACTTATTTGAGAGGGCATGCACACCAGCAGGTGGGGAGGAGCAGGGGAAAGGGAGCCCAACATGGGGATTGATCCTAGGACCCCGAGATCATGACCTGAGCTGAAGGCAGACACTTAACTGAGGCACCCAGGAGCCCCTATATAAACTACTTTTAATTAACAAAATGGGTTGTTAATATCCAGCTATTCATGTTCTGCGTTTCATCAGTAAAGGGTTACATGGAGAAGCCACGCCATTTAATACAGTTCTGTATTCATCTGACTACTTAGAAAATGGGTCTCCAATCAGACAACCTTTCTGAATTTGTCTCTTTAATCATGTGTAACTTATTTTCAGGTTGGGCACTCACTAATAAAACACCCCAAGTTTAAATTTATTAAGTTTATTTTTTGATAAAATGAAATTTGCAAATTTCATGAAGTTGATGAACGTGATACTGGAAAATAGGTACTTTAAAGCTACTGACCAAAAAAAATTTAAAAAAGCTACTGACAAATGAGAGGATCTGGCAGAATTAGACCCTGTAGCAATTAAAGATGAGAGAATTGATAAGGATGATGCATATGATTGATACTTCAAACTGGAATGATTTTAATGTCAAAGGAATAAGAGTGGCCCTTGGGAAATTTGAGGGTATTCTAGATTTTTTTTTTTTTTTAATTCTAAAATTGCTTTTTTTTTTTTTTTTTTTTTTAAAGATCTATTTATTTATTTGACAGAGAGGGAACACAAGCTGGGGGAGTGGGAGAGGGAGAAGCAGACTTCCCACAGAGCAGGGAGCCCAATGTGGGGCTTGATCCCAGAACCCCAGGATCACGACCCGAGCGGAAGGCAGACGTTTAACGACTGAGCCACTCAGGCACACCCTAAAATTGCTTTTTATAAATGTTCTGTGAAAGTAAAGTGAATGATCATATGTTTTTCCCAAAATCATTTCTGTTTATCTTTCGTTAGCTCTGTGAAAGAGCACATAATTACAATTGTAACCAAAATTTTGTTAAATACAAGGTAATGTACATACATAGATTTCAAGTTTTACTTAATAAAATCCCATGAATATAATTTCTTTACCACTCACTGTAAAATTGCCTTCCCTTTTTTTAGGTAGACTTACTTTAAGAAGGTTTTTTTCCTAGTTTTTTTTTTCTGCCTTGGATGAGAAGACCATCCTGTACATTTTTTAAACTCTAATTCTTTAATAAAGTATTAAGTATTGTATTACAAGTATTCTATAGTAGTACTTTATATAAGAATTTATTTTAAAATGTCTGCAAATTATTCCATTGTATGGAAGTAGCATGATTTATTAAAATGGATATTTTTGTTAAATTTGGGAGTTTTCATAAAGGTATGTGTATTTTATTTAGAGGTCATAACTATTTGGATTTCCTAATTAAGTATGAAATGTCTGTTATCTTTTGGTATCAAAGGCAGTAGTTTCTGAGGAATGATATCTCCAGGAACCAAAGACTTAACTTTTGCTGCAAGATAGGCTCCCTGTCTACCTCTGACTTGTCATCTGTCACTTTCCTTCTTCCTAAAGTACTTTTGCATTTATGCTGCTAGAAATGTCCCAGTACTCCACTGAAAACAGGAGAGATGCACCTTGTTCTACTGGGAAGCTCAAGGAGTGCACACTAGAGTCCCAGGGGGCCTAAAGTGGAAGGTCATTTAGCCCTTGGACCTGTCCTCCATGCTCTCCTCTTTCAGTACACAGTGAGCTTCTATGCATACCTTGTCTGTGAGGAGTCCAGGAAGTGTTGGCTGATAATTCTTTTAATCTGTTTACAAAAAACGTTATGCCTTTCAAAAGAAAAAGGTATTGGCATATTAATATAGTATGCCGTTATTTGAATTAAGTCTTTGTCAGTGGCTTGGGAATCTAACCACCATTTATTGCTTTCTGTCCAGATACTTACTCAGTTCAAAATTTGCTTACATACAGCAAATTTTGTTAGATGAATAAATATTTAACCTCATTTGTAAAAAGATGTAGACTGCCTTTGGTTTTTTAATACCTGATAAATGTAGTACATTCATTTATATATTTAAAACCAAAGCTCAGTATTTTTTTTCAACTTTTGTGTAAAATAACTTTTAAATCTAAGTAAAATGATTTGGGAGAATGAAGTCACAGAGATTTTAAATGGAAGAACATTCCTAAAAGCTGATTGTTTAAGGTAGTTTTTGCTTACCTTGAGTTCCAGTATGTTACTGGAACATGGTAACTGTAGTACTTTGTTCTTTGAATTCGTTTTTGAATGATACAGGGAATTTTAGCAAGTAGTATCTTGACCTGATGCTGCCCCTTGCATGAATTCAGCTTTCGAGCTGTTTGTTTCTGACTTTATGAGTTAACATTACAGAGACCAGGAAAGGTTTCCAGCTTTCAGTTTACCTTCTCAGGTTCAAAAGTTTGTTGAGCTGTTTCTTAGCATTCCAGAAATGGAATATATGGAATGGATCATTACTACCAAAATAAAAGTTGGCACAACTCGCCTCAGTAGATAGCACAGAATAAAGCTTAAATAACTAATTACCATAAAAGGATTTTAGGTATCGTTTTCTCCCGAAGACATTTTTTCAAAAAACCTCAATTCACTTGAGCTTACAGATACTCTACCAGATTTTTGAAGCAGGTTTTTCAGTGCTGTTGAACTGAGCAGGTCATAGAATGAAGAAAAGCTTCCAGATGCTTTGTCTAAAACAAGTGTAACATTGAAAGTTGACAGTTCTTCCAAACAAAAAAAATAGGCATGTTTCTTTGAATAATTGGATTTCTAAAGTATTTGCAAATTGAGTCCAGTATATTTTTAAAAAGCACGTATTTACCCAAATAGAGTTAATTCCAATAATACAAAATTGGTTCAAAATAATGAACTCTTAGTATAATTAGCCATATCAATTTGAAAGGAGAAAACCCATATCATTTTCCCAAAAAACTGAAAAGGCATTAGATAAAAATCAGTAATTCTAATTAAGTGGCAGCAAAATAAGAGTGAGTAATAAAAATACTTCTCAGATCAAAAGCTAGCATTCTTAATTGCAGAGTTAAAAGCATTCCTTCTAAATTCATTACATTACCGGGCTTGGTTCTAGAAGTAGTAGTTGGCAGCAGTAGCTATTTCAGATACTGACGGAATGTATGAATAAAAAAGCTCTAGAATTTTTAGGTGGGTTATTAAATGGGACATCTGGCTAGCCATTTGGAGACATTAAAAGTTTGACTCCAATCTTATTCCTTAGACAGAAATTTCATGTGAACTAAAGATTTCACATTAAAAAAACAACACACAACTTAGCTTTAGCGGTAGAAGAGAACATGTGATACATGTGGCCTCTCTCAGAATATGAAGATAGACACTTGAACAACTGACTCAGTGTGGGGAGGGCCTCTCTAAGCAATGTATAAAACTAGAAGAAAAATTAGACTAATTTCTGCTTTAGAAACTCAGATGTCCACTAAGGACAAAATATTTGCAAAGCCTGATACACAATGGGTAGTTTACTCTGCGTACTTGCAAGGATGTGTGTAAAGAGATATTTGTGTTAGCAGTTGTAGTGCTGAGAGATAAGGAACAACTGAGTCACCAGCAAGATACTGGTTTAAAAAATACAGAAAATACAATGGAGAACCATACAGTTTTAAAGAATGATTTGATTTAGATACACTTACGTAGAAAATACTTCAAAATAAATTGAGATGTAATCATTCTGTGTGTGTGTGTGTGTATGTACATTGTGTGCTCTGCTCTCACCTGTATGTTTTCAAAAGGATGTAGTAGCATATAGCTAATAACATTTTGCTAGAATAGTAAACAGTGAATGGTCTTAAGAGAGAATTTCAGTGAGGAGGAAAACTTCAACATACTCTCTGGTACTATTTAAGTTTTGTACTGTTTAAATTTTTTAAGTTGCTAAATATTTTCCCCTTTGGTTTTAGTGGTGATATCTCTACTCATTAATCTGGGAAACCCCATAAAAGAAGTACGAAGGGCCTCCATTCTTTGTCTCCAGGCCCTCAGTGGAGTGGTGTCTCAGTTCCACCTGGTAATAGATCATTTGGTTCCTAAAATAGAGGAGATCACCTCAGATGCCACCTATGTTGCTCAGGTAAACTCATCATCAAAGAAGACTGATGGTGTGCGCATGCCTGTGTATACCTGTGAACGGTTTTGTCCTCTTTTGACATTTTGCTTTGTAGGGATTTTGATCGAGTCAAGTCACTGAATTTGGAAATTGATGTCAATATCTGCACAACTTTCTCTTACCGTTTTTGAAAAAGATAGCATACAGTGTTTCAGTATGTGGCTTTTGATAGTACTAACTTAGAGGTATTGTACCATTTCCTGTTAAGGTTTCAACAGGAAATGAAAAATGATTCACTATCACGTGATTTGGAAAAGACTCTTCTATGATCAGTACATTTAGCCTTTATAGTTTCTTAACCCTTTTTTATCTGATTTTCTTTTTGGTGTGCTAGGATTTAGCTACTTTATTTGAGGAACTACAGAGAGAAAAGAAACTGAAATCTCATCAGAAGTTATCTGAAACTTTGAAAAACTTACTCAATTGTGTATATAGTTGCCCATCTTACATTGCAAAAGATTTGGTGAAAGTACTTCAGAAAGTCAATAATGAGGTATGTGCAATTCAGGTGGCTTACACATTCCATGTAATGTTACTAAACACTATTGTATCCACTAGTGAGTAAGGAAAACATTTGCAGGAGTTACAGCTACTCACTCAGAAGTGAAATTTTTCTTTCTAATTTGGGAGAGGGAAGTGAGATGTAGAAACAGAGGACACAAAAAGCAAGTACTGGTAGGTTTTTTTTCTATTTAAAAAAAAAATTGTATGTTATCCCTACTTAATCATTTACTTGAAGTGAATTTTAAAAAGTAAAAATATGGGGAAAAACACTGAAGATGCACTGCTGAGAAAACTGTTGGTTTGTGTCTTCTGGTGGAAATCCTACACAAGATAATGTATTTGGACATAAGCATGAACATTCCAGAATCCTTTGTTCATTCATAAAATGTGTGTGTTTGAACATTAATTCTGGGGGAAAATCCACAGCTTTCATTATGTTGTCAGGGAGGCCTTGGCACAAAGGAGGTTGTGAATCACTGGTTTTTGTGATGGCACGTGTGATCAGACGGTTGCAAAGTGCATGGATGCTTCACTAGTCTCAGACTGACTGCAATGTGGAGAACTAAAGCAGGGGTCAGTGCAGTGAAAACCACATGATCAAATTTTCCTAGTGGCAGCCAACAGATGGCATTGAGCGGCTTTGTGTCATCCCTTGTAGTTTAAACTAGGAATTGACTGTCTTGTTCTGTGAAAGACCAAATAGTAAATATTTGTTCTGTGGGCTCCACAGTCTTTCTTGCAGGTGCTTGGCTCTGCCATTGTATTGTGAAAGCTGGAGCCAGTTATGTAAACATGAGCTTGGCTGTATTTCAGTAAATAAAATTTACCAAAACAGGTGGACCTCTGGATTTGGCCCACGAGCCATAATGTGCTGGCATTTGGTTTAGTTGTTAAAGACCTCACATACATAATTTGGAAGCTCTGTTTGAGGAAATATGCAGTGTTTGCTAAAATTTATTTTTGTGGTCGAAAACTTTAGTTTGTGTTTCTTGTTATCAGAAAGTCTTGGGATACCCACAAATTACTCCTCATTTCTGAAGGGTTTAGAGCTTTTGACCATTATAAACTGAACCATCAGAGAGAACCTGAGTGCTTAATTGGATTAAATAGCCTTGCTCCTGTCCAAGGGATCATCTTTAATTGTTTTTTTTTTTTCTCCAGGCTAAGCTCCCAGGCTTGCAACATCGTATCTTGGGATGTCTTTGTAAAGCAAGCAAAAATAGGTGTCAGTATAGATAACTGTTTGCTAATAAATTTCTCCAACTTTAGATGGTGCTTTCTCAGCTGTTGCCTATGGCTGAACAACTGTTAGAAAAAATCCAGAAGGAGCCGACAGCTGTCCTAAAAGATGAGACCTTTATTTTACATCTCACTCTGGGAAAATATAATGAATATTCAGCTTCCCTTTTACATAAGGACCCAAAGAGTCTGGATATATTTATAAAAGCTGTACATACAACAGAGGAACTTTGCACAGGAATGCCAACCATTCAGATAACAGCTCTTGAAAAGGTCAGTGACTTTTTTCAAAGACTAAAGTATGTTCAGGCTCTTAAAATTTTGTAATGTTTTACTTGGAGAAGCTAAAGTGGACTGGACATGTTTTAAAATGGATATGATCTGTTTGGCCTGCTTTTGCAAAATTGAGTGATACATATGTGTGATAAAGCTGCAGTTTAGCTGACAATGGGAATGATATTACATCATAAGAAAGAACTGTTTAAAGGTCATTTTTGGGATTCACATTTGTTGAGCTCAGTTGCCTTTTTTCTACCTCCTCTAGATTACAAAGCCATTTTTTGCAGCTATATCAGATGAAAAAGTTCAGCAGAAGCTTTTGCGCATGTTGTTTGATTTATTGGTGAACTGTAAAAATTCACATTGTGCTCAGACTGTTAGCAGTGTTTTTAAAGGGGTAAGTTACACAGTTTCTATAATTTATTTATTATTGTTCTCTTCCAAGTAACACCATGTTTAATCAACCTCTGATATCCAGTGCTTTTAGAATGTCAGATGTTAGCATTAATAAGAATCATGGACAAGTTTAGCTCCTAGAGAAGTGCAGAATCAAAATTATAAGTCTTCACCATGATTTTTATTTTGTGAAATATTTATATTTTAACCAGGTTGGGTATAGTGTTAGTTTGGCTCTTACATTAGATGGGATCTATCTGTTTTATGCAAGGATTTTCAACGGAGTGTTACTTAACAGAGTACTCAAAGGGTTCTACTTAATTTAAATAGTTGTTTGATGACATGTATATCATGGAATTGAGCATGTGCTCATTGGTTTATATGTATATTAAAACATAGCTGTACGTCAGAACAACCACTTACTTTGTTGAAAACACAGAAAACAAATTCACAAAAATAGGTGCTAGTATGGGGAAGTCCTACTATGCAGATTCACCAGCTCTCAGTATTTAACATATTTTCTTAGATTTCTAAGGTGCAGATTTCTAAGTGAAACAAATTAAGGTGCAGAGCAGTGTGTATACTACACTCCTGTTTGTGTGGTGTTTTTTTTGTCTTTATACAGCTGTTAGGACATGGAAAAGAATATGGTGGCATTTGCCTTTGGGGTTTGGGATTGGTTTGGGCTCTGAAGTCCTAGGAAAATGTGAAAGTGGACATGGACATTTAAGTCAACATCTGTTTCTCTAATTTTATCCCATTGAAGTGTGTCATCAGTCATTCTTCATTCATATTTCAGATTTCTGTTAATGCTGAACAAATCAGAATAGAACTGGAGCCACCAGACAAAACAAAGTCCTTGGGCACAATTCAGCAAACGAGAAGACAAAAAATGCAGCAGAAGTAAGAGCTAGGAGTGCAATGAAAACATGCTGTTTATTCCTCGGGCCTTGAATGTTATGAAACCGTTATAATTTTTTGATGCCCATTAATTTGGCATACATAGTATGATAATTTTTACTTTGCATTGATAGTGTTTGCTTTTCAAATATTTTCTGTTTCCCAGAAAATCACAAGATCTAGAATCTGTTCAGGAAGTTGGAGGTTCTTACTGGCAAAGAGTAACCCTCATCCTAGAATTACTGCAGCACAAAAAGAAACTAAAAAATCCTCAGATACTGATACCAACTCTTTTTAACCTGCTGTCAAGGTACTGACACTTGCCTTTGCATTTGATCTATGAGAGAATAGGATTCTAATTCATGCACATCTTACTTAACATTCTTTTTAAAAATACAGTCTTTTCTTAACTAGTCTGTAAAATAAAGCAAGTTAAGTACTGTAGTTGAAAGGTTAAAAGAAAGTTGTTAGGTACCCATTGTCAATGCCCAAATTGATCATCCTCTTGTGTTGTATAGTGAATGACCATTCCCCTTATAGCCTGTTTCTTAACTTTCAGCATCGAGTTCTTGGGGCATCCTTACTTTAAAGATAAAGGGAGAAACCCGCTATGGTTTTTAGGTATAAATTACCAGATAGCTGTAGTGTTT